ACAGTAGAAATCACATGCACCATAATGGCGTGAACAGAGCAAATACAATCCTCACTTCATCACACCTTGGAGGGAATTCCACTGTTCTTGCTGTGTGAACTTATGTCCCAATATGGAGTTTGTCACATGAGCAAGTCACCTGCCCTTGCATGACTCAATCCTTTTTAGGTAGCAGCAACTCCTTACATGCTGGTCTGAATATTCACAGCAAAGCTTATTGGAAGTGGATTGGCACCACCTGAGATGCACTTGTCAGTCAAGTACTCCTATTCACTTGGCTAGCAACCCTTTCACAATAGATTGGCCAAGCCTCCTGCTGATCTCTCCAAGAGGCACACATTTGAAATACAAATATGTAGCCAATACTCATGCAGGAATATTTCTTGTATTTGAAGTTATATGAGCAGTATAAACAAAATCAGAAAATCATAAACTTTCTATAGACATTTCACTTGGCCCAAGTTTTGGTGCAAACATATAACAGTGGTTGCAACAGGGATTTGTATGTTCATCTCACAATCTAACATCACAATTTATCAATCTATTACCTTCTAGGTGCTTAAAAATTGTTTAATGTTTTCTCTCAGTATCTTAGTGAATGTGGACCAAAATGGATATCAATAAACAAAATCTACAACATACACACCTATGCTTTTTTGTGGAGATAGGGGAGCTACTGTGATTCTGTGTCAGGTTAATCTTTCCTGGCCTACACTGATTAAGCCATCATTGTTAGTTTTAAGTTAATGAATATTCTGTACCAGATCAAGCTTCAGGAAAAAAGTGAATAAATAATATAAAATATTAAAAATATAATCACTCTTTAGCCCCTCTTTATTAATGGGCAACTATTGCTTTGGGTTTTTTTTTAGTACATCCTTTTTCTTTCAGGAAGCATCTCTCATTTACTTGAGGACGGTTGCTATCTGATGATTCTTGGACACTTAAAATCAAAATTGGGGAGACACTTTTTAAATGAAGCTATTTTTGCTGTAAGTGCAAGCTATTTTGGAGTCATGTTTTAGAGTACAGGCAGTCCCCGGGTTACGTACAGGATAGGGACTGTAGGTTTGTTCTTAAGTTGAATCTGTATGTAAGTCGGAACTAGCGTCCAGATTCAGACACTGCTGAATCTGGACGCCAGTTCTGACTTACATACAGAATCAACTTAAGAACCCCAGGCGTCCCCAAGTCAGCTGCTGCTGAAACTGATCAGCAGCTGATTCCAGGAAGCCCAGGGCAGAGCAACTCTGCCTGGGGCTTCCTGTAGTCAGCGCTGATCAGTTTCAGCAGAAGCTGACTTGGGGACGCCTGGGGCAGAGCAGCTGGGGTGCTGCTGGGTTGCTCCAGTAGCGCCGCTCC